CTCTTAGACATTGCTCCTCTCTCAAGAAGGACAACAGTTTGAACCCCTATGACTGAATAGAAAACACTTACCTACCAGAAACACCTCCATCTCTCTTAGACATTGCTACTCTCAAGAAGGACATCAGTTTGAACCCCAATGACTGAATAGAAAACACTTACGTACCGAAACACCTCCATCTCTCTTAGACATTGCTACTCTCAAGAAGGACAACAGTTTGAACCCCAATGACTGAATAGAAAACACTTACCTACCGAAACACCTCCATCTCTCTTAGACATTGCTACTCTCAAGAAGGACAACAGTTTGAACCCCAATGACTGAATAGAAAACACTTACCTACCGAAACACCTCCATCTCTCTTAGACATACTGCTCCTCTCAAGAAGGACAACAGTTTGAACCCCAATGACTGAATAGAAAACACTTACCTACCGAAACACCTCCATCTCTCTTAGACATTGCTCCTCTCAAGAAGGACAACAGTTTGAACCCCTATTACTGAATAGAAAACACTTACCTACCGAAACACCTCCATCTCTCTTAGACATTGCTAGTCTCAAGAAGGACAACAGTTTGAACCCCAATGACTGAATAGAAAACACTTACCTACCGAAACACCTCCATCTCTCTTAGACATTGCTACTCTCAAGAAGGACAACAGTTTGAACCCCAATGACTGAATAGAAAACACTTACCTACCGAAACACCTCCATCTCTCTTAGACATTGCTCCTCTCAAGAAGGACAACAGTTTGAACCCTAATGACTGAATAGAAAACACTTACCTACCAGAAACACCTCCATCTCTCTTAGACATTGCTACTCTCAAGAAGGGACATCAGTTTGAACCCCCAATGACTGAATAGAAAACACTTACCTACCGAAACACCTCCATCTCTCTTAGACATTGCTACTCTCAAGAAGGACAACAGTTTGAACCCCAATGACTGAATAGAAAACACTTACCTACCGAAACACCTCCATCTCTCTTAGACATTGCTACTCTCAAGAAGGACATCAGTTTGAACCCCAATGACTGAATAGAAAACACTTACCTACCGAAACACCTCCATCTCTCTTAGACATTGCTACTCTCAAGAAGGACATCAGTTTGAACCCCTATGACTGAATAGAAAACACTTACCTACCGAAACACCTCCATCTCTTAGACATTGCTACTCTCAAGAAGGACATCAGTTTGAACCCCTATGACTGAATAGAAAACACTTACCTACCGAAACACCTCCATCTCTCTTAGACATTGCTACTCTCAAGAAGGACAACAGTTTGAACCCCAATGACTGAATAGAGAAACGTGCTCACCCAAAAGCCACTAACTCTTTCAGGCCTTGCTGTTCTCACCAAAAAGGTGCACAATTTCTGAACAGAAAACACCTCTAACTGTCTCAGGATCCTACCCTTCTCGCTCCTCTCAAGAAGGATCACAGTTCAAACGCACAATTTCTGAAATGAAAACACTTGCTTACCCAAACGCCACAAACTCTCTCAAGGCCGTGCTGTTCTCACCGCCATTGATCAGAGTTCAAACACAGAGTGACTGAATTAAAACGACAATTTCTTACCGAAACGTCCCAGATTCTCTAAGACCTTGCTCCTCTCAAGAAGGACTACAGTTCGATCACACTAGCTGATACGCCTGAACTTTAAACGTCCGAGAACTCGGTCGAGATAACGCGAGAAGTGAGAGCTCTTCGACGTGTTATAATGGATTGATGAGTGACATATTATGCTTGGTGACAGGTTGAATGATATTAGGTAATATATAACAGCGCTTATGCATGCAACAGTCATTATGGAGGTATGAACTGATTGATCTGTTACAAAGCAACACTGGCTATGTTACATACTTTGATCGACGTATTGGCTACATTGCATCACTGGTAATAAAACACCATGAATTGTATGTATGTTATCAAATATATGAGATGAAAGACAAACATTTTCGATCTGTATCCGACCGCCGTCATATTCCTGGAGTAATGTCTAGTGTGGCGTTTAACAAACGAAAAAAAAATAAACTAACAAAAGATGACATTTTAACACACGGTTCAAACTCATGAACGCGAAGACAAAAGAATATTTAAATTTCATCATTTCATGGATGTGGGAACCCAAGCCACAGTCAGTAGTCCCGCACTTAAACAACAGACTACAGAACTGGTTAAAAAATGGTGGTTTATGAGAAAGTGACATGTTTTGCGATAAGATTATATACCGTGCCGTACCATGTTTTCGGGGGAGCCATGTTTTCGGGGTATGTCTTTTTCCCGTAATTTCTCGCGTACAGAGAGATAACAGCGCCACCTGTAAACACCGTCTCCAGTGTAGAAGCTTCTCTGACAACCGGGAAACAAAATGTTTGAAATGTCCAGCTTTCACGTAAGTTGTGACCTAAATTTCTGTCAAAGTACTAAAATTCTACCCTAGAACGTAATGCTCTTTCAGAACCTTCATAAATGTGATCATAACTTTTGAAATAAAGCTCGTAACTTGTCAAGCGGACCATCGTCTGCTAGAGTGAAAAGCAACGCATAAATATCACGTGACTCTAATAGAATGTTGCCGACGTAATAAAAAACTATATAAGACCGAATTGGTCATCTCTTGCATATTTTTTTCCGTGTTGCAGAATTCGTCTCGGCTTGTGACCACTGGGTTCATTTAAAATACTGATGCGATGTCACTGTACTGCGCAGACATGACACGTTTTATCATGTTTATTGTCCCTGCCATGGCAGACAAGAAGAATGAGTGCACTTACCTGTAAATATATTTATTTTTAACAATTTTTACCAAAAAAAACACTCAAATAATCAAGAAAATAATGACTAGTTTGCACGACTTTTCATTAAAATGCCACGTTGTATTTGTTGACTTCTTAGGAGAAGAATGCATCACCTGGGCTTCCATACAAGGTCGTGACCCGCGGTATAACGAGTAAGCCGAAAACATGGTCCATCGCTTCTCCCGCTCGCACTGGCGGACAGACACAAAATGTTCACTGCATTGGAAACCAGCGGACGACAGAACATTCTGACAATACATTTATGAAAGGTGAGATGATATTTAATTACGGAATTACAGTTTTGAGAATCTACTGATACGCAATAATTTACATGGTCATCTTTTGCGTTATTACCCCGAAAACACGTTACACCATGGTATACATTACGAGTGTTTCTTTAGACACACAATATCAAATACACACAGTTATTTTCGAACACTTGACGTAATTTCCATAGACTTACATGTTAATTTAGTGCAACATAAATAATTAGACATGTACATATTTTATGGAAATTACGTCAAATGTCCAAATATAACAGGCACGAGTCTTAAAACGGGTTTTGAAAAATATGTGACAATCATCCGGTTTGGTTGACATAGTAAATCCTTCGGACTGACCTGGCCAGCAAAATTGACTGTTCACAGGTTTCCCCATACTTTTTAAAATCATAACTTCAAACCCTATTAAGCAGTGAATAAAACGCACAAAAATGAAAGCCAAAACAGCTTTGTTTACAGCTAGGGGAGATGAAAGTAGTCCAGAAATATTGACCAATCAGCAATTAGCTCAAAACTTACAAAAACGATATCTTTGACAAGCGATATCTCCTCTGGAAACCAGTATTGGATGATAAAATGGTATATATTGACTTCAGTTTCAATATTTTCGCTTTAATTGGGCTTACGTGTTGCAGAAAACCACTTTTGAAACAAAATAGAAAACCTATATTCCTTAATATACTCAGCAGCAAAAAAGACGTTAGTACGAATTCAAAATTAGATAGGCACTGTAATCAAATCATTACAGCAATTGACATAATAAGCAGATCAAACACATTTTTTGTGTACAATATGTTGACACATCAATGATAAGCTCAGCACAATTTCAAGGCATTACGTGAACGTTTGCAGTCCATTCAGACTCTTGACTTCAGTATCTAGTGTGACGAGCGGCAATAACTGCAGCACAGCGTCTATGCATGGAGTGAACCAATCGATTGATGAAGGCCATTGGCAGCTGGAACCACACTCTGAGAAAGGCCTGGCGCAATAAATTGGCTGTGTTCGGCCTTGGTATGACATTATTCAGTCTCCTCTGAATTTCATCCCAAAGATGTTCAATTGGGTTTAAATCAGGACTACGGGTTGGCCACTGCACAATGTTGACACCGTTCTGCTGTAGGAAGTCCCGTGTAGCTCTGGCAGTATGGCCCCGGGCGTTATCATGCTGGAAACTGTTGTTCCGGTGACGTGCGAAATGTGGTATGACGTGGGGTCTGAGAGCTTGGTCGATGTTGCGCACCGCTGTGATGCCGCCTCCTCTCACTGACCAAGGTTTTGGAACACCACAGGACCCACTCTCTGGTGCAGGCCTATTCCAACCCATACCATGATGCTTGCACCTCCCCATGAGTCTCTTTCCATAACACATTGGTCCAGTAACGCTGGTCACGTCGTCGCCATATTCTTGTTCTGTCGTGAGTCGCGGCATCCTGCTGACGTTGTAATGTGAATGTTTCAACCAGGTTTGGGGGTGCATTTTACAGGGCTTGTCCTTGTGAACAGCACGTGCAGCATGAGTTGCATGAAAAACATGGAGAACACCATCTACCATCTCCGAGATCAGGTTGCGTTTTTGATACCATTTCCTGGGTTCCATTCTGAGTTTGGGGAGGGATGCCTTTGCTCAGGTAAAGTTGGAGATGTTGTCAAAAATATACCATCAAAACATTACATGAGTTAACAGTTATCCGTTTCTGCGAAGGAAAATTCCAAACTGACGTTTCTTTTGCTGCTTAGTATAGTATAAAAACTGTACTTACATCCTCGAAGTTTTATCTTCACTTGTACACATCAGATCAGATTTAATATGTCGTTTTTATTTGAAGAAAATGTATTAGTTCGGACACATCTGGACTATTTACGGTATGCGGTGTGGTAGTCTAGCGGTTAAAGCGTTCACCCGTCACAGTTCGATTCTACATATGGATATAATGTGAGAAGCCCATTTATGGTGTCCTCCGCCGTGATACTGCTGAAATAGTGCTAAAAGCGGCGTAAAACTAAAGTCACTCACTCAAGTCAGGAGTGTTCTCGTTCGGCGTCAATAAAAAAATCCTTTTTTCTCACAGCACATTTTGATGGTGACCCTTGCTACCGGTAGGGAAAGATTTGCTTACCAAGTGAACACCGCTGTTTTGATTGTGTACGGCCAAACAATACTCGAAGCCAGATTTATGGGGTTTTTCTTCCTTCCATGGCTTGGACAAATACTCTGGTATACACATGATTTGTCTCATTTACAAAGGAAAGTATTTGCAAATGTAATACCAGAGAACGATCATCTTTAAACTTCATTTACATTTTTTGGGCACCTTCCATTAATGTGTAAAATATCTGCAATTTACAATCCAGGTGTCTTTTCATGTTGCTGTTATTACTGTATGTTCTTTTAGTACAACAATGTCAGATCAATGGAAGTCATCGTGACATATCATACATTGTGCCGTGAATAGAAGAATGACAATGACGGATCAGTCAACTGAAACTCTTCTCGTGGTAATGAACCCAGATCTTTCAGCATAAGAAGAGAATCATTAATCACCTGGAACCCGTAGGCTAAAAACCAATTGGCAACACATCGCGTCGACTCGCTGCTTTCACGGACTACATACTACCACTCGGGTCCCTTCGTTAGTTTCGGCTAACAACAAGTTACCCATGGCAACACTGCAGTAGGGATGTGGATTAAATTCATCGTAAACCGCTGAACAGCAATTCGTTCCGCGCGAAGAGGACCATAAAGTAAGAAACGGATTGTTCACATTTGGGATTCGAATCCGAATCTGTTCTTTTTGTTCACATTCGGGATTCAAATCCCGAATCTCAATTTTATGTTTAGAAACGGATTCCCATTGGCCTTTAAATGATGTTGAAGACAATGTTTTTCTGGGTGATTTTTTCCCTTAATGGAAATTGGGCATACACTTTGAATTGAGGAAAGAAGCAAACAGAGAAAATTTGAACAGTTCAAAGGCCTAAGACTGCCGTTAACTTTGGTTGAGCATTGGACTCTCAGAACAAAGTTACCTTTCTTCATGAATACGATAACAGTCATGCATGTATTTAACGGCTTATAGCCCGAGGGAATTCCCTGATAGTCGGTCATCCCAGCTTAAGCAGAACAATTACATATGCAGTCATGATCCATACATCAATAGTGTCTTTAATTTCCTCCCGAATTCTGCTATAATTACTTACTCACTTACTGCTCGTAAAGCTTTACATTGTACGCCTAATCACCATTTTATCAGATATCCTTCGTTTGTATGCATATGAACTGTGTTGAATTCTCCATCATAAGGGATAAATAATTCAATGTGAAAACAGTTAAGGATCTTTTTAACACTGTTAATTTTTATTTAATTATTGTTTTTTTTAAACGAAATTGATTTAATAGATGAATTTTTAATAATATGTTCTGTAGATAGATGTATTTTAGTCATTGGTAGTTACGATTAGTAACTTAGATTGTTAGTGGCTGTACCCTCAAAGGGGGTTAAAGTACCGTAAAATTATTGTCCTACTGAGAGGGTACGTAAGTCCCAAAACCTTCAAAGTAAAATGTAAATTTACCACATTTTAATCGTAGTATTTTGGTCTTTTAACTGCCGGCTACATTTTCAACGCCAACGGCTGAAGGGATGGTGTAAATCAAACTAAGGTCCATGCAGGTAGCAAACGTAATGTAAGTCCCCATGGATCCTAGTATGGCGATCTACCTTCAGTTGTTGGCGATCTATAGCCCGTATTTTATACTGTATTGTCTCCTTTATTGGATGTTTTAGCTTTGCTCGCGAGTTTTAAATTCATATATGTGATTGTCTGGTATTTTTACTGTCCATCGTCGACAGGTTTTAATCTTCCAAATGTTTTCACCTTTTATTGTATGGATTGTTCTCGTCACGATGTGGCTGAGATATTGCCGATGTGACGTTAAATATTCACTCACTCACTTGTATGCATATGAATCGTCTGACCATTAAAATAGCATTTATGAAAATAATCCCGGGCTGGTGGGGTAGCCTAGTGGTTAAAGCGTTTGCTCTTCACGCCAAGATCCGTGTTCGATTCCACACATGGTTACAATGCTTGAAACCCACTTTGGGCGCCCGTCGGTCTTCAGCTACCCATGCGTGTCGTAAGAGGCGACTAACTGGATCGGTTGGTCAGGCTCGTTGACACACGATGCTTGTGCTGTTGATCACTGGATTGTTGCTGAAGATCAATTCTAACCCGGATCTTCACGGGTTCAGAGTTTGATAAGAGCTATGGCCCGGAACCGAGAACCACTGATCTATCCATACATTGGTAAACATAGAGAATTAGCTGAAACGTATTGTTCTGCAACATCATGTTATAAGCAATATGAAATCTTTGCGTTAGTTCTTTCATTATAACAGTGTCAAAGAATACCCAGTTTTAACTATCATCTGAAATAGATTTGATTGGCTGTAAAGGGCACAATGACTGTGTAAAATCAATGATGATATCAGAAAAGGGTAAATATGTCCTTCCTAACCGTTAGCACCTGTCATTCACACAGTTCGTTTAAGTGTGTATGTCATTAAAGCCTTTCGCAGCATATCAGTACCATGAGGCATCGGCCGGTAAACGAACCGGACCATCAAATGATCAATGTTAATTTTCAGTTACGACTATAGCCCGTTTGGCTCAAAAGCGGACTGAATTGCAATCTAACTCGAAACCTACAAAACATATAATACTCAATGACAAATTTTTACACAGTTCACTATTTGTTGCGAGGGAGAACTGCAAAGAGAGGAAGAGCCAGGTGTAGGCGGAGCACGTGCACAAGTGCCGACAAAGGTCTTGAATCATTTACCTGTGCTCTGCTCTCTCGATCCTTTCTCGCACACCTGACTGTTCCTCTCTTTGCACCCCTCCCTCGTAACAAATAGTGAACTGTGTGAAAGTTTTAATGATGGTTTGTTAAACAACTTTTTTATTTTTACGACATAAATTCTGACAATGAAATCACAGAGTTGGTCTCATGTTTTGTTTATGATCAGTGTTTCATTGAGCATTATATGTTTAGTAGTTTTCGAGTTAGATTGCAATTCATCGGTCCGCTTTTGAGCCAAACGGACTATACTGTGTAGTAGTTCAGAGATACCCCTGCTTATAAGTCACGAAAACGCATACTGATATACAGCACGGCAACAATATTCCAGCTTCTTCAAGGTGACCACTATACAACTAAATATGAAAGGATAATTCTCTTACACCTTTACAGTAACTGCTCGGTTATATATACTGCCCGTCAAAAGTTTAGACTCACCTAAGACACTCACTATATGTCTGTCTGTCTGTCGGTCGGTCGGTCGGTCGGACGGACGGATGGATAGACGGTCTAGATTTTTGACGGACGGTCTAAATTTACAGCTAGCCAGCTCGATGGTCTGGTAAAATGTTTAGATGTTCCATACATCTGAGTAAATTCATCATATTTGGTCTGGTTAAATCCATTTTGGGCTGGTAACATTGCTTGAAATTGCTGAAAAGCTTGTGCAAATATCGTGCATGTGAACAGCTGCGTTTTTGTGTAAAGTTTTGTTAAGAATTCGCCAGTTTTCCCTGAATTTAATTATTTATTGAACTCATGACAAGAATACGTTCAACGTTGCAAATTTGTTTTACAATACACAGTTCATGTGTAAACAGTACCTTTAAACAGCATGGGATAGTGTGCAAAATCTAGTTTAGAACAGTTGACTGAAGTAGCTATAGTTTCACTAGTGAGTCTGAACGTTAGATGGGTAGTATATGTAGTCTGAGCTTTGAAATACACAATGCCATTTTAGAAAGTGGTCAAATGTAACATGTGTTATATTTGGGATTACACGTTCTTAGTAAAGTACAAATTCTAGTACTTTTTGGGTTGAGTCCCATCCAGGATTCGAACCGACACCCTCAGAGTCAGGCACCTAATCGCCAGCACACAAAGTCAGACGCCTAGACCGCTCAGCCACCGCGGTTTCCATAAAAATGGAAGTCGGACAACTGGTAGTCTAGACTCAACCCCAAAAGTACTAGAATTTGTACTTTACTAAGAAAGTGTAATCCCAAATATAACATATGTTACATAAGTCTGAGCTCCTTAGCTTTCCACGTTAAACGATATTGTTGCAACTCATACATGTATATTCAAAAGAAAACAAACCCGATTTAGGCTGCCACTGAAAACACCTGTTTAAGATAATGCCAGTATTTTTCATTTCAAATTGTAATCAGAAGATTTTTCATTTGAAATCAGAAGAGTGTCGGTGGCATTTCCAAACACGTGCTTGAATTCTGGCCTACTTTTTAAATGACGAAAAGCATTGTCAAATTCGACTGTCTATCATTTTGATCATGTTGTCACGTCGTCAACTACAAAATGACATCCTTCGAACTCATCTGTAGTGAACTCTTTAAAGCCTCCGATACGAAAGGATGTCAGCAGGCGCGTTCCGTTTCTTCAACAGACAGTTGACTGTTTAAGTAAATTTAGTGTCTATATGTTTCACTAATTTCTGAAAAATGTGGTATCTACAGATAGTCGTTTTGGGCGATGGGGTAGCCTAGTGGGTTCGCTCATCGCGCCGAAATCCCGAGTTCGATTTCCCACATGGGTACTATGTGTGAAGCCCATTTGTGGTGTCCCCCACCGTGATATTGCTTGAGTATTGCTAGAAGCGGCGTAAAACCAAACTCACTCATAGTTTTTTGAAGATAGCTTGACAAACCACAATGTAATAACATACAATTGTACTTCTTTGTGTATGTGTACGGGTGGATCGGGTCGGTGCAATTCACGTGCACAGGATGCATTCATTAAGTTCTGTAACGTCCGATAAGGGATTAGCTCAATATTATAAAATACACACACTGGCACTTAGGGATAAAGATGCAGATGGTAGTAGTCCTTGGCTCCCGTATCAAACAGTCCTGAGAACATAACCATCCCAGAATTTAAACAATTTCATTTCCGTTGACATTTTTATAATTGTGA